TTTTTTTTTGATTTTTTTTGTATTTTAAAATTTTCAGTTTTTTTTTTTTTGCATATTTTTTTGAAAAAAAGAGTAAAAAATTTTTCCTTAAGACTTTCTTCAAGTTAAAGTCAAATATTCACCTTTAAAAGTATTAATGATAAAATGGACCTACCTAAACCCTGTATTGGTGGGGTAGTCCTTTTTGCCTATTTTGTATTTTCTCTGAAAAAAAAATTTTTTTTTTTCTATTTAAATTTGGGAAAAGTCTTGGAGTCAAAAAAAAAAGCATTTTTTCTGCCCCTTTTCTTTTTTGAAGATACCCTATTCTGCCTATGCATTGTTGAATCTGCTTTCTTGATAAAAAAGCTTTTTTTGCAATAGACACTTGTTTCTATAAATAGAACTTTTTTTCTAAAAATAGACATTTTTCAAAAAATTTTTAAAATTTTTTTTCCTATTGGAAGGCTATAAAAACAAAACTCCACTAAAAGACAACTTTGATTTGTACCTTTCGGTAAAAAAAAAGGGTCCCATAACCTTGGGCAACCCAAAAAAAGGGCCCCAATGGAACCTTACAATCCATTTGGTAGGGAAGGGGGGGGAGCACCAATGGTGGTTTCTGTTGGCCAAGAAGAAACGTATTGCGGATAAAAGGGTTATTTGGAAGAGAGGTATTCTTCACTAAATTTTTAAAAAATGATTTGTAAAATGTTTTTAACTCTAAGTTTTGCTAGCATGACTGATTCTACCTTTAAAACCGGAAGCCCAAAAGATTATCCGACACTTTCCTGCCTTTTGGCCATAGTTCACTTTTGCTTTTTAGTCAGAATTATTAGGAAATTTTGGAAATTTACCCCAAAAAATTGTTAAATTGGTTTTTTCCTATTGTAAAATGGTTAAGTCCATTTTAAAACTTTTAAAATTGAGTAAGTTAAATATTCCCCCTAAATAAAAAACGTTAAAATTTATGAAAAAACATAGTAATCAGTTAAATATTTTCATTAAAGCTTATTATAAGCTGGAATACTTCTGAATAATTTGGTCTGGCAATTTATTACTCAAACTTTATCATGCTACATTTGTATAGCAGACTTGTCTTATATTTGGAAATTCAGGATATCAATTATAAATTTGATCTCATCTTTTTACAATGTCTGATTCAGCAAGAGCAAGGCGTGCACACAAGAGAAAGCTTCTCCAAGAAATTGGTATGTTTCGTTTTCCTTTTTCATTTTTACATGAGAAACGGCTTTCAGAATAAAAATTTTATTCTTTTCTACTTGCAGCTTAAAAATTTTCTTTCTTATTAAAGCTATGCATAAGCATTGATAATATGATTTGTCATTCAATTTAAATCATAATTCTTGAAAAGGAATAAAAAAATAATAACTGTAGCAAATTAATAATGTGAATGAGATTGTAAAGCATGTAATCATCTTTAATAAAGAAAATAGTTTCAGACAAATAGAGGTTGAAGAGTTGAATGTTGATTAAAGGGAGACAACTGCTTTTCTTACAGGTGAACAAGCTGCTTTTGAACGTGCAAGAAAAGAGAGAGAAAAAGGCATACAAACTAGACAAGAGGTATGTATAACTTTTTTTTAAGATATTTTCAACTAATATCAAAGCATCTACATCTGCAAGATATTCAACCTGTCTTCTGTGGTGTCAAAGCAAAACTTTTCCTTGACGATTTGAACCCACACTGCAAGTAGTCCTTAGATTACTTGTCTGAAGTGTTAACCATATGGCAAAGCCCTGGAGATCCCCTTGATGGCAATGAGCAACAAAGTTTTAAACTGAAATTTTCAGACCAAGGTTTAATTTGAATCTGATTCATGAGAGATAATTGAAAGTGTTATATTGTAAAGTTAAACATTTGTTAAGTTAACAAAAGGCAATTCTTACTTTGAAGAAAGTCTATAAACATTTTAGTTAATTGGTTGACAGTGTTGAAATATCTTTTAATATCATAAGCAAGCAGTTAGTGTGAAGAACATTAATATAAGCAAAAAGATGCATTAAAGAGTAAGTAGTAAAGTGAAGTGTTTTTAAAGAATGTTTTTAAAGATTTCAACACTTTATATCATTGGGAAAGTTTATCTTTTTACTGAAATAAATGATATGTTTTTTTGACAGTTTGTTGAGGTAGCCAGATGCAATTAGACAGAAGAAGGTTGGCTACCCACGATTCAATCAAAATGGTTTGATATCCCAGCATCATCATTTACCTTGCATATGTTCAACACTGTAAGTTCACCTCATTAAGTATGCAGTTTGAAGTAAAGTAATTGTTTTATAATTTAAAGTGAAAAATAATTTTGTGAAGTCAACATTAATAATGCAGATAAATTATGTTATGTGAACAATTTTTTACGTAATACATATTATGTGATCAGTAATCAATGATTTATTTGTGAAGTAAACTTAAAATGTTTATGTTCAAAGAGAGGTTTTTAAAATTTTACTTTGCTGGACCTGAATGTATGATGATACTTTATGTTTAGAATTATGATAATTCTATATAAAAATATTGTCGTTGTTTTCCAGGTACCATATGCAGAAAGAATGGAACAAAAGAAGTACCGATGACTTTTTAGAACGACAAATTGAAGACAGAAATGCTATGACCCGTATAGGTCAGTTTGAGGAACAACGCCAAGCAAAAGAGGTTTGTCTTCATTCTTTGTCATCAACCTTACACCCCTCATTTAAACACAATGGGATTTCCTGCTTTAATATTGGAAACTTTTGTCCAAAATCTAAACAAGTTATTAGAAAACTTTCAATTCATGGTGTTTTTCTGTCAAAAGTTTTCTATATACCTACATAAATTATGTGTATACATTACAGCACTACCGTACAATAGATGGTTTCTTTGGACGACGGGGAGGTGGTAATGTGAAAGGTCCAGATACCAGAAAAATTAATCTAGACAAAGCCATCCATAATCCACAAAGCACTGTAAGTAAACAATGTTACTATTAATAGACATTTTTTTAAGGTCACTGAGTTCAGTTTCACCCTCTGTTCTTTGATGCAAGTTCAAATATTGTTCAGATGTTGAATACTTTCATGTGCCAAAGGGATGAAACTTTCTTGCGGAAGGTTTGCAGTATTACTCAGATGCCTGTTTGTGCCTGAAATAATGTTTGACGAAACATCTAAAAAAATCCTTCACAATGTTTGTTGACATAAAACTGAGAAAAAATTGAAATGAAAATTGTTTCTTTACAAAGTGAACAGTTCATTAAAATATTGTGCTGATATATAGAATCTATTTCATGGGTTCACAGGAGAACCAAAGTAACTTGTGTTGCTTAGCAACCTCGACCAAACTTTGTTATGTGCCTCTGCTCATGTATTTTCTTCCTCTATGAAAGAGCTTTTATTTTGTTGCAACTGTTGTTTTTACACTTGTATGATGAAAATTGTTTAAAATATATACATGTATAGAAATTATTCATGTACCTATGACATCATTTCTGTGTAAGAATTTCAGTTCAGGATGTTCATAGTAAATTTTACAATTTCTCATAAAATAAATTCTGAAGTACTTGTTAAATGTCAAACAAATTCAAAATTGGTCGCTTTCAGCTTGGGACACCACGAAACGATCACGACTATTTTTATGTGAATCGATGGGAACTATATCGTTAAGGTGAAATATATACGATACACGTATAGGATAATATCAGTTGCTTTTTTGATAATCAGAAAGCTTTCTCCCCCATTCTCAGTAATATGGACTCTTCTGCTACTGATTATGGAAGAGTCTATTGTAATAGCAATAAGGGGGAGAAATTAAAATTCAAGCTTGATTAATTTGCACAGCAATTATCATTTAGATAGAGCATACTGTCATTTAAACAGTATCAAGAGCTTTTAATTGGTATCACACTTTTTTTTTCATTTCTTTTAATCATCACACTATCTGTCATCTCATGAAAAAAAAATATTGAGATTTAGTCACCGAGATAAGCAGATCTTTGCAGTAGTCTCCCTTTGACAAAGTCAATGTGCTTGTATTTTGTAATTAGCAAGTTCTAATGTTATGTATTATAGGTTATGACCATTTTATCACATACCTGTGCCGCTTTTGCGACTCCATACAAATGGAACTGCACGACCATGCATATATTTTGATGTGACGTCATTTGCGTTACATAAACATAGCCTTAAGACATGCTAAATGATAGTGTTACACTATAGGCATGTCAATAACAAAAAGGGATTCTTTTCACTGTAAACAGTTCTTATGTTGGTTATGTGTTAAATAGAATATTATATTTGTGTAGATTCATTACATAATTAATTGATCTAGTTGAATAAAATAATATTATGCTCACTAGGAGTCCACATAATTTTTTTAAAAAACTCGTTCAATAAATTCAGTATTGAATCTACACTCATTTAATATCCCATATAATTATAAGATTTATTATTATAAATGGATTTTTGAAATTTGTTGATGAAATTTATGATGTTATTTCTAGGGTTATGGGAATGAGTTAAGTTTACTATAGAAAGGTAGAGTTACAAGTTCATATACGTAATTATCTCTATGTTGTCCAAATTCCCTGAAATACCACAATTCCTTTTACTACAAAGTATAAAAATAACCATAATACACCTTCAATTACTAAAATTCAAAGGAATACTTTTAAACCTGTATATTATTGTGTGTGTGACCCTTTTATCGTCTTTCTCTTTGATGTATTGTTAAAATACTAAGATTACTAATTTTTCTTTTCAGCTGATTAATTAAATGGAACCCAATAAATACATTTATGTGAGAATTTTTTTTAAGGTGGTTTAAGTATTTGTGGTTATAGGGAAAGCTTTTACACAAGGCACTGCACCTTTTTTTGTTTCAATAAGACCAGTCTGTTAAACACTTCTCTCCTATTGGTTCATTTCAGATTTGAATTAGCAAATCAAATGGCAATATTTTAGACTGGTTTTATGATTTAAGCTAAAAATAGCATCAGCCATATTCTGAATCTAATGTAAAGACTTCCGTAGTTACAGTTACCCACTGGCGTTATGTAATTTATTACATATTCACAATATTAAGTTGAGGCTTTAACAATTCATTTTTTCTAAGTGAGATAACTTCTACAAATTAAGGAAAGAAGATAAGAGAACTGCAAGAAAAGTAGGAACAATTTGCATCAGAATGTCCTGTACAATTTATTATCCCCCGCCGAAAAATTTCGGCGGAGGATATAGAAATAGTCTCCATCCGTCCGTCCGACCTTCCGTTCGTCCTTCCGTCCGACATTTTTGTCCGGAGCATATCTCTAAAAGTATTTGAGGTATCAACTTGAAACTTCATAGGTGGATAGACCTCATTGAGGAGGAGTGCAGTGCACAAGAATGATAACTCTACCTTGCATGATTTTTGAGTTATTGCCCTTTGTTATTTTTCAAAATTGATTTTTGTCCAGAGCATAACTCCAAAAGCTTACGAGATATTAACATGAAACTTCATAGGTGCATAGATCTCACTCAGGAGGTGTGCAGTGCACAAGAATGATAACTCTACCTTTCATAATTTTTGAGTTATTGCCCTTTGTTATTTTTCATACCTAATTTTTCACCTGAGTGGAGCATAACTCAAAAAGTGTTTGAGATATCAACATGAAATGTCATAGGTGGATAGATCTTATTGAGGAGGAATGTTGTGTGCAAGAATGATAACTCTTCCCTATACAATTTTTGAGTTATTGCCCTTTGTTTTTTTTTATGTTATTTTGTCCAGAGCTTATCTCAAAAAGTATTTGAGGTATCAACTTGAAACTTCAAAGTGGATGGATCTCATTGAGGAGGAGTGCAGTGCCTAAGAATGATAACTCTACCCTGCATTATTTTTGAGTTATTGCCCTTTGTTATTTTTCAAAATTAATTTTTGTCCAGAGCATAACTCAAAAAGCCTTTGAGATATCAAAATGAAACTTCATAGGTGCATAGATCTCACTCAGGAGGTGTGCACTGCACAAGAATGATAACTCTACCTTTTATAATTTTTGAGTTACTGCCCTTTGTTCTTTTTCATACTTAATTTTTCAATTCAATTTTTTTTCTCAAAAAGTATTTGAGGTATCAACTTGAAACTTCATAGGTGGATAGATTTTACTGAGGAGGGATGCAGCACACAAGAATGATAACCTACCCTGCATTATTTTTCAGTAATTGCCCTTTGTTATTTTCAGCCATCAGTATTCACATAGGTTTCAAATCTGTAATCATTATAGCCATCAGTTTTCATTACCAAAAGACCTCTTAAAATGGAATTATTCCGCTCTACTACATATACATTCTTCCAATGAGCAAACACATTCGGCGGGGGATGGCCATGTTGACATGGCTCTTGTTTAAAGTTATAAGTATAATAAAATCTAAATTATTAAGTGCTTCATGATGATACAAGTGTTTATTTTTTATTTCAATTTAATATAAATCTTTTGACAAATATGAATATTAATTTATAAACAAACAAATTCAGTTACAACTTCAAAATTAAGTGCAACAGGTTGACTAATCTATTGTGACAGGTAGTGTCTGTCAAGTTTTAACATACCACAGGGGTGGGGGAGTAGCATGAAAAAACGCACATTTGCTGAGTTCCGTATAACATCATTTGAATCAATAATTCATTCCAGTACTACTACTGGTTATTCCTAGATATATGTGTACCCTTTTTATACAATTTCTTGCATATTGAGATTAATTTTGATTTTTATCAAATTTTCACGACATCATGGAAAAGCAGTGAATAAATTTGACAGAGAATGTCATCATTTTCATCCAAGAGTACTTTCATTATCTCATTTTTTTTTATAAAACATCTATTAATAGTAACAAATATCTATAAATAGTAACAAAGTATATTATTAAAGTACTAATCTGTGTTGTTTATTGAACTCAAAGAGTCAGTATTACAACAAAGTTAGATTGGAAGAAGAGATGGCACCGCACGAAATTCTCAACACGTTTAAACCACGCATAACCATTAACAGCACACATAAGAATTTATATGAATATCCACAGGGCGAACTTAAGGTAAAGCTAGCTTAGACAGTGGTAGAATAATTGTGTATATAATCATAGCGTTAATGTCGCATTATTCCCGTGTTTTAAAAAGTGTGTCACGTCAAATGTTTAATAATAATATGTTGCAGTTATGGTGCATATATAATACTTGTGTAGCAAAGTTTGTTACTGCAAAAGTATGATTAAATGTTGCATTTATGTAACATATACTCTTATTAAAAAGTGTTGGTAATGTTAAATCAGTGTTTTTATTTGAAAATTTTTGTCCAGTTCAATGTATGTTTTTTGTTCCCTTAACAACAAATCTATGTTTTTAACAGCTGAAAAATTTGAAAAGCCGGCAAATACATGTATAATGTAAGACTAACTATGGAATGTTTTCTGTTAATGTTGTTTAAGTTCTGAATAAAATATACATATAATATTCTCAAATATATATTTTCATATACTGCATTATAGAAGTAGTTCAAAAATTAATTGAGCCGTGTCATGACAAAACCATTCTGATCAGGATCCATGCTGTTCGCTATCAGTTTCTCTACTTGTTATAGGGTTTGTAAGCGAACAGCATGGATCCTGATCAGACTGCGCGGATGCGCAGGCTGGTCTGGATCCATGCTGGTCGCAAACGCACTATGTTGGTTTTGTCATGACACGGCTCAATTGTATAATTATAACAAGATATACATATAAAACATAACTATTTTCAGAGACAGCTCTTTTATTAAGGTAAACAAAGTAAACTGTAGTTTTAATTCAAGAAGATGCCATTATTTTGATTATAGCATTTTATTTTTATAAAGATGATTTTTGTTTGATGCTAGGTTAAAGAATTTAATTTATGTTTTCAGCAGCTACATGTAGATCAGACTTTTTTTAGAAAAATATAAACATTGTAATTGTCTTTAAGGGCTCTTAAATCTAAGTTGATCATGTATCACACAAAGAACTATTTGACCCTCCTTTATATAATTGTGTTCAAATTTCATAGTACATTATACAATAAATAATTTTATTAGCATAGCTATAAGATAGTAAATGATACTATAATAATAATCCAGTTACCTCTCTGGCGTGGGTTCGATCCCTGGGAGATGCTTCGGTAGTTTAGCACGGAGGAAGGTAGTCTAGTACTGGTGTAACTCTCCAGGAACGATGGTTAGTAAACTACCCGCCTATATGACTGAAATACTGTTGGGAAAAGGCATAAAATGAAACAAACAAACAAACAAACTATAATAATGATGATGATAATAATAATCCAGTGAAAAGCTCATCAGAAAATTCGAGGAAAAGAAAGGAAATAAAACCTTATAATTATACTTAGTGCAATAACTGATAAAGGGCTATTAAATTAAGAAGGACTTATTCCGTTATTGCACTAAGGCAACACATATTATACTGCTGATAAACAAAACATAAAATGAATAAAAAAAATGAAACTCAAATATTACTTGCAATTTGACATACATAATTAATAATCATACAACTTTAAATTACTGATATATGAAAATCAATCCACACAATTTCTTTGATAATAAAATAACATGAAGAGCCTTTATGTTTACTTGATACTTCTGATTTTATCAGACCTAATATGTAGATGAGATAACAATATTGCAAAAGTTTAAAAAAAAAGATTGAGGATTGATTTTGAACTAGCTGTATAGAATAGTGTTTGCTAGATGATAGCCCTGTGTGAAGTGTGTGATTGTTACCATTATATAATTGATATTGGTATATAGGTCAGTTTTCATCAACATCTGGCATTTTATAGCAATTAGACTCATTGACATACATTAGTTATCCATTAAATTTAAAGTACTTTTTCTGGTAAGGCCAATAATTGGTCTAAAAATCTAAAAAATATGTGGCAGGGAAAATGAGTTTCATTAAGTTTAAAGGAAGATTTGCAGGTTTTATGAAATAAAACAATTTTGTTTCCAATCTTTCACAAGATGGTCTATTTTGATAGATTTGGATGGCAAAATCTAGCTTTACCAAATATGATAACCGCCAAAAGAATACATAATATAGCAAAAGCCTTACTTAGCAAAAGCCTTACTTAATTGAGTTTTTTTTCCATGAGGCACAAATTTACTCCACAAAAAAAACCCATAATTTTAGCCCTGACATCTTGATAAATCTTTGACGATGAATAAGGGTTGTTGTAATGAATGACAGTTGAGCATAAACATTGTATCAAGTTTTGTAATCAATTAATGTTTTAACATATTTTCTGCTCCTTGCAGAGTATTGATGTAAGAAATTACATGGGACGTGTTTGAAGGTAATTGTTACACTAGATCAAATACCTACTAAAATGTGCTAGATTGTCTTTTCCTGTACAGCATATGTATTATAGTTCTTGCTAGTTGTCCCCTTTTTTCTTTACAATTTTACCCTGCTTAATTAGTATAATGGACTTGTATCAATTTAGAAACCATTTATGAAGGATTTCAGTATCAAAATACAAATTTACTGAATTTGAAATTATTTAGCGGTCAGTAGTAGAGTGAGGGCCGTCTGCACCATATGTTATTATATTTGATATTTCTGTATCAAAATACCAAAATTAAATGGCCAGTAGTATAAGGTCAGGTCAGACTCGGAGGTTATCAAAAGGTGTTGATCTGTGATGATAATTATTAAAAAAACCTCCCCCTATCCTTCAAACCTTCCTCACAGATAACTAGAAACCTTCAATTTACTCTGTAACTGGAGTATTTATATTATTAAACATGTATACACAAGATAATTACACAGAGTATCTTTCCAACTGCCTTTGGAAAATTTCAGTAAATTCTAGGCTAATTTAAATTTTCTATATAATTGATATGACCATTACTATTTCCAGCTATGGTTAACTATGTTAATATGATGTGACAATCAATTTGGTTGTTAAAAATTTTAAGCCAATCACATTCATTTATTTAATTATCCAATCAGCTTATCAATAGTCCTCATCCAATTAAATGCATTTTATCTTTATCACCCAATCATGTTTCATTTTTTGTATATTTTTACCCAATCATATTCAAGCAGTTCTAATTTTAGTGCATATTGTAATCAGCCTCAGTTTAATTTATTCATATATATTTTCTTTGTTTTGTTCTTTTCACTATTTGCATAATACTTACTGTGTGGGCATTTGGTACTTTTTTCTTTATTGCAAGCTTTAATAATAGTTTTGCTTGATGTCTGTCCAAAAATAATATTATTCCTGTATGCTTTGCATTGTATAAACACATGTCTATTTGCTGTTGTTATTCAATATACTCAATAGACTGTAACCATGTTTACTACAACAATTATCTCTTTAAATTGCAAAAGACGTTCTATAATTTACACAGTTTTTGTTTTCTTTTTTTAAGTACATTTTTATAGGTATGTTTTTTCTGTTGTGATTTCTTCCAGTCTAACTCTAGTTTCGTTGATTTTTTTATTGAAACACAATAATTTATTGAAATTTGAGGTCAGAATATATTAATTTTGTTAATGTCAAATCAAAACAGCTTATCTATGGATATCATTTGTAATGAGTATATTATACGTGAGTATATATAGATAAAATTAAGACTTCAAATCATTCTTATATGAGTGTAAAATCTAGAAGTACTGTATATAATTATGATAAATTTAAAATTAATTATGAACTGACTATACAAAAATAACATGCAACATACTTATCAATCATATACATGTAAATTGTTTTATTCACACATTTGTAGATTGTGCTATGAACATTATAAGTCAATCTCAAAATAAAATCTCATATAGAAATGCAGTCAATAAACAAATATGCTAATACTAAATAAATATGCTGTCGTGGAACCTGTCAAATATCAAAATGACAATTATTGCACTGTTTGCTGTAACAATAAATATGTTATAACATTTCTTTATTTTTTTTATTTTCCAGACAAACTACTCGGGGAGAACGCCTTACGCTGCAGAGTTTTGAAAATAAATTTTCCCAAACAGATGAATTAGATAGGATATAGCAATAAAGATTTCATAGCACATTAGATGTCATCCTCTTGTAGATACAGCCATTTTTGCAAGCCTCTTAATCATCTAGATCCATAAATAGCATGCCTCTTTATCACATAGATTATTTTATTATTGGAACAATGTGTATATATGAAAAAAATATGACTTTTGAAGAAATGAAACATATAAATTTTGATTTCCGTTTCACAAATTCCAGAGGATACTCATAAAGGGACTGGGGAAATCTTGTATTTCAATGTGTTTTTATTAAGGGCAAAAATTTACGCTTTTCATTTTTGTGAAACAGACAGAGATGTTTGCTCAATATTTTAGTAATAAAAAATATTTTTGTCTCAAATTTATGTTATTTGTATATATATATAGTGTCATATTGTCATAATATTGTTAATCATTAATGAGAATTGTTTCTGTGATATTTGAAAGATTTTATATATGTACATAATTGATCTGATCAGATTGGAAAGGAAAATAAATTTTCAAGTTTTATCTTTATTTCTGGATCGGCGGCTTAAAAAAATGAAGAATTAATTCCTTGCCAAAAAGTGGGAATAATATCAACTTATGATTAGGCTATGCACACTGCAATTTTGTTCCTTGGATTAAAGTAGCCTTAAAGATGTCACAATGAATTTGAAAAAATGTTTGAAACAACTTGGTGGCTTTTTATAAGCAAAAATAAATAGTATGCTAATTTGAACAATTGAAAAGATGTTTTGAGATAATGATGTAGGAACAAGGTTCTGTCATTTAATAAAAATTATTGAGGTAACCTCAAACTGTTTAATACAAGTTTTCCAAGTTCTGTATAATGTAAATTTATCTTGAATTAATTGTTACAAAGTATTTATATATATTACCAGTATTCTGTATGTAGAAATTAAATGTCTTGTTCAAAATTGATGATTACAAAAAATTTATGACATGGAATTGTTCCTTATACCTTTGACCTTCCATTATCCTATTTTATAAAATTTGATAGATTTTATTTTATGTGCCAATTTGATTTAGTGATGTAAGATCATTGATGAAACGTTTTAAAGAAAAATATTTTGTTCAGATTTAAATGAAACAGTCTGTTTTATTTTCAAGTTAAGTGAAACATTTCTAATTTTTATTTGAATGAAATAGGGTTTTGTTGTTTCAGTCAGAATTGAACAAACTACTTTTTTCTTAAAAAATTTGAATTTTGACATTTTCAACAAAACATAACAATGTTTTATTATTTCAAGGAAAGCTGTTAAATTTTAGTTTATGTTTAACAGATAAAAGCATGACAAAATAAATGGATTAAAAATATCAGCTTTATAAAATATATATTGTGCACATGACCATGTTTTTTATATGTTAATGATTGTTTAACCGTTTTTAAAAAGAGCAAAAAAACTGTGAATTTATTTTTGGTTTGATTTTTGGCCCGGGGATTTTTTTTTCTATTTTTTTATTGTAGATTTTTATTTAACAAATTTAAACCTTTTTTTAGTATAAATTATTTATATTTTTTTTTTTAAAAGTTTTGTGAAAAAGCTTTTTTCTTTTTTTATTTTTCTGTTTATAATTTTTTCCCACATTTTGTTAGTTTTTTGAATTTAAATTATTTACACCTAAAAGACATTTCAACTTTGAAAAAAGAAGTTTCAATGTTCATGTATATATGACCATTTTAAAGAAGCTCCTTTAAAGTCTTGCATTATCATTAATTTTCATATTGGTTTAACCTTTGGTGATTAAACCATATTTGCCAAATTTATGTCTGTCAAAATATTTAACAAATATTTCATTGATCATGTTCAGAAATAATTGTCAGGATTTTGCTGTGGGATACTTTTTGATTATCTTCATCATTTAATTTGAATTGAAAAAGAAAAAACTCAACATCAAGTTCAAAGTTTGTTCGTAATTTCCTTTTTGCTAATTTCAATTGATTTCCTTTTTATCTCTTTGGGTTCATTAATATTTAAATAATGCTTATTGACGATATTTTTATGTATTGAAACACCTATTTGGCCAATCTCCACACAGTGATCTCCCCTTAATTCTTCGGCGTAGATCTCTGCCACCAAGGTCCCGATATATCAGAATTTCTGATATACTATATTTTTTCAAAAATTGTTTATCTACTGCTTTTATCTATCAGATAAGTTTTCTCTCATTTTTTAACAATGTTTATGAATAAATAAATAATATGAAAATTTAGAAATAATTTTAAAAATTATGAGCTGAGACGATATTTTATATTTTTTAGCTTTTGAATTTATTTTTCGTTATTTTGTATACTTTCGATAATTTTTTGATAAACTATATCGAACGTAGGCACTAAAAGTTAAAAATAAAACAGAAAGAGAAAAATAAAGTTAGATTTTCTTTGTAACGGTCGATATTTACATTTGAATTTCGACGTTACGTCATGTGACTTTCATCATCATGTGACGTCTTTGAAGGCAGTGATTACAATACTGCCAAGGGAGGTAATCACTATGAGGAGTTTGCTATTTGGCTTTATTGTATCATTTATTATTTTTTTTATGATCATTATAAGAATATTATATTTATATATCCACATGTACTAAAAAGTCTTTTTTCTTCTTAAAAAAAAATTCCGTCCATTTTTTGTTTGTTTTATACATGTTTTAATTGTATTAAGTGTCAGGGAATAAAATGTAAAGTTTAGATTTGTATATTTTTACATGAGAAAAATCATTGAGAAAAAAAAAACAACTATGTTCTTATCGACTATTTGTGGTGTTGATAGTATTCAATACATAAGAAATAAATACTTTGTTAAAATATTATAAGAGCAAACTTCAACTGTGGCATATATTTTATATTAGTTTAGTAGACAGCTAAAAATGTTTAGTAGACAGCAGTGAATTGTTTACAAAATATTTCAGTGCATTAATGTTTATTGTTAGCATTTGTATAGGTTAAATTAATATTTTCAAATATTTCTAAAGACTGTGTAACATTAATAAACTATAGAAATAGCAAGTTTAAAAAAAACAGAAAGAAAATAAAACAGAACGCAAATTTAATTAAAAAAAACAACAACAAAGTATTTTGGAATAGAATTGTATTGAAAATGTCACATTACAGTTTTTTTTTGTTTTTAAACATTTTCACAGCGATCTGCTCAAGTGGAAAATTATATTTAATAATGTAGAGACATCTGTTATATATTCAATCTCATCAATAAATGTATTTGTTCTTAGAAAAATATTCCTCTCTTTCTTTTTTCCATTCTTCTTATTTATGTGCAGCGACATTTGAATATTACGCATG